CAATACTGGGTATCTACTCCATAAGAGTAAGTTATGGGATAATAATAAGGACCACCAAAATGGCATAAAATAAATAATAAAATGAAAAACTCTAAGCAAGTATTTTTGTGTGCTATTTTGTGTGAAAAAAAGCTATCAATTGTCTATTTAAGAAACCTTATTGTTTAACAATATATAGTCTCATTTTCTTACTACTTGTTAGTTTAATGCATGTAGCACTTGTAGAGGCAGACCAAACTCAAAGTCTCACCTAACACTGTTTTCTTTAGAATAAAAACTAGATAATAAGTCTATTTAGGATGTAAAATGTGGCAATAAACATCTACTACTCTGCTAACTAACAGCCTAATAATAATTGCGGAATTAACCCAAGGCTATGAAGAACATTTACCCACTATCAGTACTTTTAGGAAATTATAGTAACACATTAAATTTCTCAAAACTAAGGCCTAGGTTCAGAAAAGCCTCCCTAAAACTGACAACAGAGCTAATGTCGAATCACGTACAAAATCATCTTTAAAATGAACACGTGATATTGCAGGAAAGATTTCTTAGAAAAGTCACTGCTCATCCACACAAAACTTCCACTAAGAGTAAGAGATGAAGCTTAGTCTTTTCTGTATCTCCAGTACATACCCAGCACACGGTGTGAGTGATGGTAGGGAAGTGAAAGCATTCAATAAGTCATACCTATAGTAGTCTTATAGGTAATGGGACATGCATCATCCTAAACTCTAGTTTTTCCTAAACTAATGCAACTGCTTTCAAATTATTTTTCCACACAATCACACCACTGGAAATGCATAGCAAGTACTAACGCAAAATCAATTAGCTCAGTGATTGTATTATTAACACAGAAGCTTAGCATTAAAACAAATGCTGCCTTTACATAATGTTATTCCCTTACATGCCACTAAAATCTTGTTGGAAATTGGTAATTATATCATCTGTACACATACTATGGATTTTATTTATTTACATACTTGTTTTTTATGAGAAAAAATAGACCTATTATTTAAGTAATTCAAAACTACCACCTTTAATTTAATATCAAATGTGTGAAAACTACATTTTCCCAATCCCTAAATGTGTGTGTGTGTGTGTGTGTGTGTGTGTGTGTGTGTGTGTGTGTGTGTGTGTGTGTGTGTGTGTGTGTGTGTTGGGTTGGGGGGGAGGCCTTGGAATATTCATATATTCATTCTCTAATTTATTTTTCCTGTTTGTATTTATTTTCCAGAGCTCCATGTTAGTAAAAGATCCCTTGTTTGAAGTTCTAGTCTCTTGTGAAAGAATGGAAACAGACAGCACTTCCTCTCTGAGCAGCGCCTCCCTTGTCCATGCTCAGCCTCAGCTGCACCTGCTCTGCTCAGTGCATACTGCTTTCTACATTACTCTGCACTTACCAAAGTGTACTCTTATACACTGGCAAATATGGGACTCTGATCTGGAATTAGATAAATACATTTTCAAAACTTTACAGACTACTTCTCATTAGGTTAAGTAAACAAGGCTGAAGAAAACCCAGCAACGGCTTAGATTAAATGATCATTCATTTCTCTAAGTTTTCAGCAGAAAACACGCACTATGAATGACTGCAGCATCTACATACTCACTAACAACAACTTGGTCAAGAAAAGCTAGTATTCTAAATCAACAATATTTTTAAAGAAATAACACCTAAGTCTATAAATGAGTTGCATAGTAGTTTTCCGATGTTGCTCAAAGTAACCTGCAATAAACACAGGAAAGAAGTGTAGCAGCGTGACATGCTGGGTCAACTTCTAAAGCTCTGCTGGGTGGATCGAGCCCCACTGCAGTCTGACTACACAGCAAACTAGGCAACAGGCTACCACTGTGCCATTTGAAGCTCTGAGCATAAAATATTTGGATGTGCGTACTTCACAAATAAACTGAAAACTAAAAATCACAATCTTGAAACTATTTCACTAAATAGTTGAACTCAAGAGCACACTGGTAATCTCTGTGAGTTCACTCTGCACTTATACTATTGGAGAGGTGAGCTCATAATATAATCCACGCCCCTTTTGGGACATGGAAAAAGGTACGGGCACAGGTGAGAATAAAAGGAAGCAAAGAAAAAGTGAGCGCCCTTTTTGGAAGCCTGCCACGCTTCTGATCTCCCAGCTTATGTGTAAGTTCTTTCTCTGGTAAATAAATATATTATATTCCATACTGCATTGACCTCCCTTGTCATTCTATGAATTCAAACAGCAAGACTTTCTCTTGGATCATTTAGAAACATTTGAAGTATATAATGCACTGAATGGTATGTACTCATCATATAATGCATTCTATTATGTATGGTGGTCTTACCATTTGGTCCTAGGGAATGTCACCAAAGGTCCAAGGGAATAACATTAAGATAAACGGAACACCCACCACATGGATGAAAAATCAATTCATACATAGTACAGACTACTAAACGGTATGAACTACTGTCGAGAATTTAGAGAGAAACAGAAGCTCTCTCCCATGACTTAGACTACAGGAAGCTGAAGAGAGTGATAATCTTGTCACACTAACTTAAAAGGCTGTGCAATGACCTCTGGTGCTCACTTTCCACTCCCAAGTTACTCTGGTTATAAATAACCCATAAAATTTAACATTAAAGAGCAAATAAAAAGCTTAAGGGCTATTAATTTTATAGAGTTGGATTTCTATGTTTATTTTTGCCAGTAGTAATAATTGCAACAGTAACAGAAGTAGTGGATTAAGTCCAAATGGTTACTACTCTAATGCACATATTATTTAATAAACTATACTGTACTCAAGTCACCCTAAAAGAAAACTGAGCTTACTAGGAATGAATTAAGATGACAAAGAAAGAATCCATAATTAACTAAATTGCTCAAAAACATAGGTAATATTGGAATCTATAAAAATGAAAAGTTCCAACTTTAGTTGGAACTAAAACTGTTATTTTAACTCTTGATCTAATCACTGTTTTACTAAATATTTTGACAGTGTTGATAAATCACATACTAGGAAGGAAAAGTACAATGCTATTTTTCATTTTTTTTAAATTTGTACTCTTAAGTGTCATGATTTAATTAAAATATCCCATCATGGATTTACTAACATTTAGTTTGATTTGTACTGTCAAAAGCTCTTGACAGTTAAAAGGAGTAAGATACAACCAAACTCAGAAGTCACAGAGACTGACTATATACTGAAAAAAATCTGATCATTTCAGTTAACATAAAGTAATTTTAAATATTCTTAAAAATTAGACATTGACAAAACCTATGCTATAAGTATAGTTTTAACTGTAATTTTCATTGAATATGAATTGCAACTAACTAGAACTAGTGAAAATTCATTATTGTGCAACACTTTATAAGTTTTTAAGCTAAAACTGCTATTTAGAATTACACTTGAGAGATAAGCCCTAATTATTGCTCGTAGACTACTGTGAAGGGAACTTCACAAGCTTTAATTCTGTATTTGAAGAATAATTACTATTAAATTATGTTACTGAAAAGGCACCTTAAACATCAGAAAATTATAATGTACTTTAAACCATAAAGCTAGTAAGCAATAAGAATTTTCAATTCCTTCATCAGTATTAAGTCACAACAAACCTAGTTAAAAAAAGGCAAATAAATTGAAATTCAGGGACACAGCCAACGCTAGAAGTTATCTTAAATTGCTAGTCTATCAGTTGGTAGTATTATTATTGTTTGGGGGGACAGTTTTTGCTTTTGAAAACCTACATTACATCTCATAGGATCGTGCTTTAAAGAAGACCTCAATTTTATACATCATAATAATATGGTATCAAAAAACATTCTATTTCAAATTTGTAACACAAAGAATCTGTGTTTTAACAATCCCATTTAGTTTGTTTCGGCTGCTGAGTAGATGTAAATGTAATCCACACCACTATCAAACTCTAGGTCTAATAGATATCAAGCCAATATTTATTTCTAAGTGCTTTAAAAATTATTCGTAAAACCTGCATAAAAAGGATTCTGTGAGTGTATTGTGATTTGACTTTAACAATTATTCTGCACTACAAATGGAAGTACATGCTCAAACAAGACACCTCAGCAGTATTTTAAAGCAGTAACCACCTAGCCAATTTCTGTATGTTCTGTAGTTTTTCTAATCCACTCTCCCTGTGGTTGAGCAAAATCGAATTGCCTCTCACATTTGCAGACAGCTCTGTGAAGGTGATAATAGAGCTGCACCCTGCTGTCATGAGGCAGGAAATAGGAAAATGGCATATGGGGCTAGAAAGAAAGAAAGAAGGGGAAAGAAAGAACGAAAGAACGAACAAAAAGAGAGAGAGAACTAAACAAGAACAAAAGAGATTTCAACAAAGAACAATATAACCCAATGTGCTCTGCAAGTTAACCTCTTTTCAGAATCAGTCAGCATATTTAATCATTCATCTGTGTCCTGACTACAAATACATGAATGGTTGATTACCAAGTCTTTGGGCAAGTTTTCATTGTCTAAAATATTTGGAAAATACAACTCCAGAATACATATTGCATAATGTCTGAAAAACAGAGCCTTTTAAATAAATATTTTTAAAACGTGCTGATATTTATTAAAATATTAATAGAAAGTGTAAGGCAGCAAACATATATACTGTTTTATATGAATAACAATACTATATATATGAAATGTATACATAGGATTTTATACATCCTATATATTCAAGATATAAAGGATGATTAAAACATGGAAATGGGACGGACAAAGTAGTATGGTTTAACATTCAAATTTATGATTTTTTTCAAAAATTAAGGATAAACATTCATTCATGCTAATAGTAAACTAAAAATAAAATCCCTATATAATCTGTTAAATTGCTAATACCATGCCATATATTCATGGACTTGTAGAATTTAAATAAAAAGCATCTGTGCATGTGTGTTTAATTCAAAACACTTTCAAATAAAAAGGATTTTTTTAGATGAATGTGTATAACAAGTGGCAGTCGATGGCAATAAAGTTAGAATTGACTCTACCTTTCCTTTTACACTCTGAATGGGATCCACAACCACTGCCACAGCTCTCTCCGACAAGGCTTCAAAGCTCTGCTGAGTGTTGATATCCACACCAGAAAGCCAACAGCCAAAGCCAGGGTGACTGTGATACCAACCAACAACCATCTCAGGCCTGAAACAAAGAGGGCATTCAGACACTCAGAACACAACAAGTAATACACTGATGATATGAAAAGAAACAACACACTAACAGGGTATAAATTAAGAAAAGATGAAAAACACACAGGTGTGAAAAAGCACCATTAGAAACTCTGAAATCGGACACCGTATTACCCAGAAAACATGGAAATGAGTAAGTGTGACAAAGGAGTGCTATCATTAAGAGATGCACATTAGCAGTGGTAGATAAGGCTTTCAGTTTTTCACCTTGTTACCACACTTTCTCAGAGCCAGTTTTTAGCCTTTCAGCATTCAAGTAAATATCTACTCTTTAACTCCTTAGCTCTGGGAGCTTGATTTTCCAGGCACACAGTACATTTTTTAACAATGGACACCAGGATCCACTGTTGTGAAAGGATTAAATATCAATTAAAGCAGCAGTAGAACTAGGAACTCAGTCAAAAACCAATTTGCACTGCTCTGCTCAGCTGCTGAGCCTTTTGCTAACACTAATCTTGGAGTTTTCTCCACAGTAGAAGAATCTGAGCAAGAGAACGGACAACTATTGGGAGACTTAGTCTGAGGGGGGAAACGCTTGGATTATACTCTTGTCTACAAACACTTATTCAGAACTGCACTCGGCTGCAATTCATCATACCACCAGGTCTTTTGATTACAAGTGAAGAGAAAGTAACTCTAGATGCTAAACAGAGGAACATTATTATAGTCCAAGACTAAGACATGAGAATCGTAATACAAGGCAGTGTTCTGATTGGTAGATTTTCATTCAGGATGTCAAGAGGCACCACACAGGCAGATCAACTACACTGACTCTCCCCCTTGGAATGATACTCAAATACTCATTAACTTTAAGGAACATTTCTAAAAAAGGTTGTCATAAGAAATGCTAATGTATAACACCTACCTTCCTGTTTGTTTCAGCATGTCCAACATTTTGGCTTGGAACACTGGATCAACTGCTTCTACACTGACACCCTAGATTAGGGGAAAAAAAAGACTGTCTGGGAAACCTTGGGGGTAAGAAAATACTGTAAATGAACAATAACAAAAACCTACCCCAATTTTGTGAAATCACTAAACTCTAAGACTTATACCAACAATATTTCTAAAACTTCCAAGTATCAAATGCTGTTAGCTAATGACTGGGACAACAATCATGGTATTAAAAGTTTATAGCTGTTGCTACATATATATTTCTGATTACACATATATATCATTAGAAGTACCAAATAGATGACAAACTATGATTTTTTTAGTTGCAACTACCTATGGCGAGCACACCTCCTAATACCATTCCAGCATCAGGAATTTAAGTCTAATGTAGCTAAACAAACCAGTTTAACATAAGCACTTCCTCCAACCAAAGCAAACAGCACAATGAATTCTAATAAAGAAGGCATCCCTGGATAGCAAGACTATGTACTCTGATACTGGGCTAAGGTTATCTTTTTTGGGGTTTTGTTTTCATTATTTTAAAGAGGAGAGAATGAAAAGAAGTAGAGGGGGGGTAGGATCCAGGGAGAAGGAAGGGGGAAAAGAAGAAGAGACGGGGATGACTATGCAGACACAAGCCTCTACAGAAGAGTCTACTACTGACTCTTACTACACAGTGAATATAATGATCAAAATATCCTATCTCACACTGACATAAGAACATTTACATCAAAGTGTGATAATAATGCATCAGAATAATTTATTATCCTGATTATCTACATAGGAACTACTTATAGCAAAAGTAAGTTCATTTTTATTATTTTATATATTTTGATAGAAAAAGAATAGTAGACCAAGACTTAATCTAAATATAAATTGCAGATAATATAGTGCTTCCATAGTATCTTCTAAAGTATAATAGATATCCAGAAAGACAAAAGAATTCCAAATCAACTTACCCAAAAAAAGTAAAATAAATAAACCCCCAAACAACAAAAAAACCCAAGATGTGTTTATTACAGATTTTCCTATTGTTTTGTATTATTTTCAAATCTGTTACATACTACAGCAACTAGTCTACAGAAAAAATTTGTTTCATATGTGTATGTATGCCTGGCATCGTTTAAATGTGTATAAGTTGTCCTTTAGTATGTAAGGACCCTCAAACAGAGCAAGCAGCTTCACCTTATAAGTGTTGGCAGCCTTACCGAGAACACTGTCACAGCAGAGGGAACCCTCCATCCATGACACACAGAAAACACAGAAGTGAGAATGGTACATATCATGTTTTGAAACGTAGGTAGAATTAATACTATCATTTTTTGTTTTAAGACAGTGTCTCAATGTGGGACCAAATGGCTTCAAAACGAGTGTTCTATTCAAGACAAGGATGATCTTGAATCTGTTCAAGACAAGGATGATCTTCTTCCTCCACTTCTCCAGTGTGGGGATTCCAGGCATAAGTAGCTGTGTTGCCTTTTATTACCCCACCCCCGTTTCTTTAAATCCAACAGGGCACACTGTCACACACTCCTTTAATCTCAACACTCCAATGCAGAGGCAGGAAGATCTCTGTCAGTTCAAGGTTAGCCTGCACTACATAGAGAATTCCAGGCTAACAAGGACTATGCAGTGAAACCCTCATCTTAAATAAACAAACACATCCTAAATGTACTACTTCCTATTAAAAAACTCCTTCAGTAAATAAAAGGCAAAGCAAAACTACCTCTAAAAAGAAGACATTATTTTAAACAGTATAGATTGCTTTCAAAAGTCTACATTTTACTACTTAACAGGTGAGTCATTCACCTCCATATATAGCACATTAAAAAAAGCAGAGACTTCAAAACAATGGAAACTTCACAGGAGGATTAATTTACATACATTCAAATTTTATACAGTTTTAAAATTTTTTGATCAAAAATTCAGAGAAATTAGTGTAACACCCTACTTTTATAACAACTAACTTTTAAATCCAGCTTGTTTGGTTCACTGAAGTTAAGAATAAAGAATGTAGTACTAGCATCATTCAGTCTATGAGTCCATGGTGCAGTTAAAAGACTGATTTAATTCAGTACAAGATAAAATTCACTACTACTAGTCCTATGATTGCTGCTTCCTACAGCAAAGAAAAAGCATAAAGAGATGAAAGCTATTTTAAATTAAAAAAAAAAAAGAAAGAATAATAAGACAAGCAACAGCCAACATAAAAGCACTACTCACAGTTCCTGACTGTGGCATAGCAAACACATCAATCACTCTGACGGTGTAATCATCAACAAATTCGCCAAGCATTAGACCCATAACTTCCATAGGAACTCCGGCACGGCCATGTTTTAACATCTGTAAAGAGGAAGATATACAGACATAAAGCACATTTATTTGAAATCTCCACATGCACGTATGCATGCACGCATTTACGCTCACGCACAGACACATAGACACAGACACACAGAAACACACACACAGACACAGACACAGACAGACAGACAGACACACACACACACACACACACACACACACACACACAAATAACCTATTTTGCTTCTGTGGTAATAAAAGCCTATTTTACAGATGTACCCTAAACAATACTTATGCCTGAGGGAATTAAGGTGATAAAAATGCCAAAGTAAAAGAGTCACTGCAAAGGAGGCTCTAAGGCAAGTATCTCTGGTCCTTACTTACCTTTAGCAATGCCAAGGAAGAGATATAGACTTGTTCTGCTGTGTCCACGGCAGGAGCATCTGTGGGTGGACCCTAGAAACAAGTTCATAACACTCAGATTAGAGAAGATAGAATTAAAGTTACATGTGAAATAAAGTTGATTATTTTAAAAACATTCTAGGAAAAAAATCAAGTTATCTTTTTATCCAATTACAACATAAATAATAAACTATTATAATTAGAAATGTTTTCATAAAGTTTAAAAGCAACAGACAAAACTCAGTTCCCTGACAACTTTCCAATGGGCCCAAAGTTTACTTCCAAAAAGTACTCCTCTACCTTGGCTACAAAATAATTATTGTCAATTACTGTAACATTACCACATATTACAAGATAATATAATCTGAATACCAAAACCTACTGGACTAGCTTGATCAACAAAATCAGCAAATCCTCTGAGCTCTTTCCCCTTTAGCTGCAGACAGCATGCAGACTAGGGACAGAGATCCCTTGCAGATCCAGGGATGGAGTGCAGGCAAGGCGGGAGAAGACTTCTAACCCCTAGGTGAAAAGAGCTGTGGATGAACACGCTCTGCAGTTGCCTAATGAAGTTGTTCCCTTCCCACACAAAACAAATGTAACCACCTCAGGTGGAACACACTAGATACGGTCAGGTAGGTGGCATAAAATACTTCCAATAACTATAACTTAGTTGGCTAATGAAACCAAGTTTCTCCCAAAAGATCCTTCTTATTCACAAAGAGAAACAAGTCTCTATTGGTTGTCAGAATGAGCCTCACTGAGCAACTTGTAGTCTTTTACCCTCAAGGTGCCTTCACCCCAGCAGTCAGTAAATACAACTCCATGCCAAGCAGTACACATCATTAAAAAAAGTTTGAGCTGGGCGTTGGTGGCACACACCTTTAATCCCAGCACTCGGGAGGCAGAGGCAGGCGGATCTCTGTGAGTTCGAGACCAACCCGGACTACCAACCGAGTTCCAGGACAGCCTCCAAAGCCACAGAGAAACCCTGTCTCGAAAACCAAAAAAAAAAAAAAGTTTGTCTGTGTTTCTTTAATACTGGGATGTGTAGAACAGTTTCTACCTGACCCTTTTTATTTGTCTATACGGTGTCAAATATGCTAACTACTCATTCTCTCTTGCTTTTAATGCTTTTACTTGTTGAAATTAAATAGTTGCTTTACTCATACTCCACTAACTGTCTACATGCATGTACTTCTATGTATAACTAAATTCCATGACATTTGGGGGCATTTAAAAATCTTACAATACTTACTGGAAGCATTAAGCATAGATGGTTGTCAAGCGCAAACTATTCATTTATCATCACTGAACACACTTTCCTTCAAAATGAAAACTAACTGGTAAGCAAAAGTAATTTTTGCTGAAGTTATAAAAGTTTTAATAATCTAATTTCATTCACTTAGCTAAGAACTTAAGGTTAAGAAATGGGGCTGGAAAGATGGCTCAGTGATTAAGAACACTGGCTGTTCTTTCAGAGGACCCAGGCTTTAATTCCAGCACCCGTATGATGGCTAACAACTGCTTGTAACTTAAGTTTCTGATGACATCACATCCCTTCTGGTCTCCACAGGTCCAGGACATATGTGTAGGTAAAACTCCTTTATATATAAAACAAGTCTCTATTGGTTGTCAAATAAATATTTAGTAAAAAATTTAAAGACAGATTAAGAAAAAGTTGAAGACTGCATCATATCAAATGCGATGATACATTTGTGGAAGTTATACTTTAGCCTTAAGGTGATAAATACCATATTCAAGTTATTTCTTGGAAACAGAACAACTTTAAAAATTGTGTGTCATGTATAGATATTAAAATAGCCTTTTTCAATTTGCCAGAAAAAGAATTATTTTTTAAAAAGAAAAAGAGATCTCATTTTACCTATATATATCACTGATATAATCCAGAAACTATTTCAGTCATCAATGGAAGAAAACTGCCTTTGTTATGTGTTATATATAATCAGTACGTAGAAAAGTATCTGGCACATAGCAAGAACTCAGTAATACTTCCTGAAAAACAAATGAATCAAAAAAGCTAACAGAACTGAAAAGGAGAATTTCCACCAGTTATGAGCAGAGGCAAGCACATGCAACTGGAGAGAGAGCTTAGTTTCTCTTACAATCTATTTTCTTAGGGTTCACAATCACGCTAACAGAAAGCCCTGTGTTAGGAAAAACCTTGCCCCTTTTTGGTATGAGTGCTGTTGTAGGACAACAGTCAATGATATTTACTATTCTGCTCTCTCCTCTCTCCACCCCCAACAGGGTCTCTGCCTGCTCCTCTTCTCCTTCCCTCCCTTCCCCCAAAGTCTTGCTAATTGATCCAGTTTGGTTTGGTTTCAAAGCCTTCCGCTTCCTGATCTCTCTGGTGTGGGTCATCTATTTTATCTCTTAATCATGGTAGCCAGAGAATAAAATTACTCCGCATTGGGGTGGGGTACTGGCAAGTAAAGAGGGGTTGATAGCAGTTAAATGTACAGTGCGACAGAAAAAAGGAAAGGGAGGAGAAAATGGGATAAATATGAAGACCATGAGAGCAGTGAGCATCTCATCCAGGCTACAATGTTTCTACACAAACACACCTGTTCTGAATAAGACTCAATGAGAGAATAAAGAAGAGATGTCATTAAAGACCATGGACACAGAGTTAAGAGAGGAATGTAAAAACTTAAGCGGCTAAACAACCAAGACAGCCCTCAACAGGGAAAAATGTGGAATTATAGACAATCTACAACTAGAGACTTTTGGTAAATAGTTCTGTAGACTAGATACTGATAATTCAAAAAGTCATCTACAAATTGGAATAACAAACATTTTAGAAAACCTCTCAGTAGAATGTGATTTTGTTTGTAATATAGTATTGGAGGAAAGAAAGACAAGATTTAAAAAGAACTGAAGTTATACAAGAAGAAACGGGCAAAATAACATTATTGTAGGTTTCATACAGTGACACAGAATAAAATATTATCTCTTACAAATGGAGGGGGATAGAGCTCAGTGGTGACTATTGTAGACGTACAGATTTGAAAGATGCTTGACATTTTGAACTCCTGAAAACTTAAAGCACGGTGTATGTAAATCTTACCAAGTCAGTGAGGGAAAGGAATTAAACACGAGACTGCTGTAAGGCACTGGAAGAAGCTGGGGGCTGAGGCCATTCTGGCTTTACTGAAGACTGCCAGGGGAAGCCTGTGGGTTCAAGGACAGCTGACACACAATGGGGAGACCTGCTTTCTCCGTTTTCTAAAAACAGGTTTGCTTAGTGAACTACAAGAGTCGGTCAGTGTACCGGACAGTAAAAAAGGTTTCTCCTACAGCCACCCAATTAAGTCTTTAAAACACATATACTCATTTAAAAAAATCAAAAAACAAGAAAATTTAAAAATAAAAAAATACTAAATGATAAGGTAAGATGAAATAAACTGTTTATGAATAAATACAATGATGAACAATGTCCTGTGTTACAAAGGTACACGTGCTCCAAGTTCATTTAAAGTAGAAATTCATGAATATACTGCTTAAAAGTAATGATGCAAAGACTAAGAAAATTAGTCAACAAGAAACTGAATTAATTGAACAATTCAGGAGCAGACATGTTCAGATTTCAGAACATCTGCAGTTTAAACCAATTATGCACCCAGAATCCCAAAATCAAACTGCTACAAATCTCTCTCTCTCTCTCTCTTGAGTGCTTTACTATTTGTGACTTCGAAACATTTGAATGTTGAGTTTGGATGCGCACTTTAGGCCTGCATGTTTCTGTAAAAGTCACAGTGGCTACGGTAGTTCACTTGGCTTTTGCTTCTTCACTGAAACAGAATAATACTGTATAGTATTAACTCCTCTTTGTACTTCTAAAACCAACTAAATAGTTTGTACTTACATCTTGGTTTTCAGGTTAATAGTGACACTGGCCCATTTCTCTTTGTTAAGTTTATTAGGTTCTGGTATCAATATGAAGAATTTATAAAATAATCTGGAGGCCGGGCGGTGGTGGCACATGTCTTTAATCCCAGCAATTGGGAGACAGAGGCAGGCAGATCTCTGTGAGTTCGAGGCCAGTGTGGTCTTCAAAGAAAGTTCCAGGACAGTAGCCAAACCTACAGAAAAACCCTGCCTCGAAAAACCAAAATAAATAAAATAATCTGGAAACTTTTACATTTTCCAGTTACAAAGTTTTCAATTTTTATATCCTGTTCTGTGCACATATTAAATTACCTAGAATTTAAAATTCAAAGAATTCACTATTAAAACATTTGGCTCTATAGCAACTTTTAGAGCTGGCTTCTGTAACTTTTTCAATCAGGGTATTGATAAACTCAGGTTATCTCCATTTTGAACCTAACTAGACTTCTATGCTATTTTAGACATTTCACTTCATTAGCTTTCCAAGTTGCCGCAATAAACCTGAACATATTCTATCTTTTCTTTTTATCTTGCTTAGTAGTGGAAGCACTTAAAACTAAATCTCCTTTTTATATCATGCTACAGTATTAACCAAGAGGATTGAAGACTTACATTAAAAAAGAAAATCAATGCATGGCAAAAATTTTTCTAGTAACGAATGTCTATGTGAGCAGGAACACATCTGATAGGTACAAAACCATCAACAAAAGAATATACAATTAAAAACATAATCTAAGGCTACACAAAGAAAGCCTGTCTTGAAAGACCAAAAGAAAAACTGTAATTTCTGAATATTAAAAAGGAAAATAGTCTGAAAATTAGTTGTCTCATATTAGCTATATGCAAAAAAGTCATTATACAAATTTTAAAAATTACTAAGTCCTCAGCAGAAACACAGGCAAAGAATATAGAAGCTAATTATATAAGAAATACAAAATGATATAAACATGAAAAGTGTCCAACCTCCCTAGCTGACCTTCTTTAATTAAAGAAATACCAATTAACACATTAAGACTTGTCCCCCAACAAGACAAGTTTTACAGTGTCCACTTTTGGAAAGGGTAATAAAGGAAACACTGATCAGCACTGGTAGTGATATGAACTGGTATAATCCATCAATAGCAGCTGAACAATGTATAGCA